TAAGTTGGATCTGTCAGGGCGCTTAAGCCTGTTGTAGCGCGCTTAAGTGCCCTAGGGCAGTGAATTCTGATTCGCGTTGCGCGCTGAAGCGCTCTGAAGGGCGCTTAAGCGCGCTCCTCGCGACAACTTTTTCTTCTTGTGGTGCGCTTAAGCCCTGAGTTGAGGGCTTAAGCGCCCAGAGGCAGTAGCTATTTGCGTTTTTAGGGAGCTTAAGCTTCTGAATGGGGGCTTAAGCTCCCACTTCTAACAACTTGATAAGATCTTCAATCTTATTGTTTTTGATCTTCTTCTATCATCTCTTGATCTCATCTTTTCTAGTTGTGATCTCTATTTATCCAATCTTCATCTTTGACTCCTTTTGTCAACAAATCCCTAAAAAATAGCAAAGATGATTCCATTAAACAAAAATTCAGATAATGTTCATGATTATTATATTAAACCCTAGTTTTTGACTTATTTAACTTGATATTTTATATTAATTTAGTCTATAAAATAAGATAAACTAAAGGTTTATCAGAGACCCTATAGGTGATAGGTTGAGTGTGATCAAAAGTTTGGTCATAGACTTGTAAAAAATCATTGTAGATCAATTTTTCTAGCACCGGTTGGAAGCTAGAACATAGTGAACGGATCGACCTCAGTCTGAATGTAGCTCTCAATTGGTTAGAGAGTGAACCAAAATATATCCCGTGTGATTCTTCCCAAACCCTTCTCTCTTTTGATTTTGATCAATTAATTTCGTTTTGATTCTTTGTATATGTCATATTGAATCTGTATAAGGGTTGAGAATCATAAGTTTTCTATTTTAATTCGTTCTTGCGTGTTTTCTTGAAAAAGGTTGCCATAAACATTGATTTTCACTATTTTTCCATTCAAATTTTATTTTGATGTATTGCTTCTGAATTTATGTTATTAGAATTATTTTAGTTCTGCTTTGTATTGAAAAAAAGATTTACATTTTGTTTGAATTCATTTTGGTTAAAATTCCTGTTAAAGTATTGTGTTTTTAATTATTTCTTGCATTAGAAGTAACACACAATTCAACCCCCTTGTATGTTTGTTTAGCCATCTTTTCTTTTCAGCAAGAACTTTCAGTAGCTACAATAATTAAGAGTTATGATGTAATTTTCTTGTTTTTGAATTCTATTTGATTTTTTTTGAAGTATTCGTAGATTTATTTGCATTTACAATAGAATGTAACAATGTGTTTCTAGGTGACATGGTCAAATATTATGACTTGAACCGATTGAAGGGTGTCATTCATGGTCTTCTTAATGGTTTCTCTTGATTATTGAATGTAAATCTTTTGAAGCTTAAGTGGATGAAACATGATGTTGCACCTGTAGGGACTTTGACACTCAAGTTAGTATGTGATAATGATAAAGTGCAATATGGGAAAAATGTGTATGTGTGTGTGTGTGTGTGGGGGGGGGTGCCTTGTATTTATGGATGAACATGAGATTTTGAGATGATTAAGATCATAAAGGAAATTTGGCTAAGATAAGGAAGTCAGTTATGATACTAATAGATTACTAGTCATTGGTAGTTAAGATGCTCTTTGGATCGTATCGTGGGTCCAAGATATTAGTGCAGAACAATTGCCCCCATCTCATTGCTCTGCCATGTTAGAGTGAGTTGCAAAGGACAATGGACAACATTTGGTGTAGTCAATAGAGTGTTCCAACCCTTTCGGCCGGGGTACGTCAAGATGTTTGATTACAAGTGCATTATTCCATCTTGGATGGACGTGTTCAAGGTCTAGTGTCTTTGAGATATTGTGTCCTAGACTTGAAAACCTCATACTGGCACTTGACTTTTTTGGATTTCTTTCTTGGACTTTGTCGACTTGCTCCGAAGTAGGTGCATTGTTCCATCTTGTGTGGTTGGGTTCAAGATCTGGTGTCTTTTATGTAGTAGGCTTGAAAACCTTGGATTGGTACTTGGCTTTCTTCAGTTTCTTCTTTGGGCTTTGTTGACTTGCTCCGAAAAGTACCCCTGAACCCTGAAGATTATAACTTGTGATATTGACCAAGTTTTACGTGGCAACTTGGTTAATATTAGCATTGGTAATTATGGGCCATTGAGGCAACCTGGTTGACTATGCTTTAATAGTGATCATAAATTGAAAGTTGACTTGATTGTCGTACATTGATAGAGTTGTTTGATGTAACATAGTCTGACTTTGATAGGATGGTTAACTTTTGGTGTCATTTGACGGCTTGTGATGACATGTGACAATCGTCAATTAATTTAGATAGTTCAAAGAGTGTGCAACAATGATTGCGTAATTGATAGCAATTTGTATATTTTTAAATGCAACCTTTGGCCTTCTGGCCGGTGTCTTTTTAAAGGGGTGGTTACTTCCATTTGTAACTTTTTCTCTCTTCTTGTCACCATTGTTTATAAACTTTTTTTTTTGTCTATTTTATTTTTTCTACTCTCCTTTTGCTTAATTTCCATACTTTTCGGAGCTCGGCCCCCCTCTTAGCTCCACTCCAACACTTGGGGCTTCATACGAACTATCAAACTTATTTGTAATACTTCCTGTTTGTCATTGTCAATTTAATTTTTTCTTCATTCATTCAACGTGTTGACCATATCTGTCTCCAAGTTAGTGTCGAAAAGGAAAAGGTGAGTCTCTGAACGGGATGCAGGGAGGCGTTGGTATTTCAAGCCCATAGCGAGAGTCTTAAAAAAGATTTTTAAAAAAAGTACTCCAAACTTTATGCTTCCAAAGGTCAACCAATATTTTTCCTTAAAAGGGCGTTTGATACAAGGATTTTAGCCGGATTTTCAGGAAACTGAATTTTTCTAAATTTTAAATTTTTGGATATTATCGTAAACTGAATATAAAAATCATATTTTTGAAAATCGAGATTTCCGAACAAAAAAAAAAATTTCTTCTACCAAACGCCCCCTAAGAAAAGAAAAAGAATTCCGTACTTCTTAGTCGTGAATATCTGAACAAATTGTCTCGTGGATCTCTTTGCTTTGGAACAAAACAATTCGACAACAACGGATTTTGGTTTTTGAGTGTTACTAAAGCACAACCCATCACGCTAAGTTGTGCCGCTGATGCAAGATTAAAGAACCGAAATTGAGCACGGGTGCAGGTCTATAATAAATTATCTTCTAGTTCGGTCTAAGAAAATTGGTGAAATTAACTGCCGTAGTAGTGTCTTGATGACTAGAGAAACCTATCAAAATTCTAATTGGTATGAGTCGGGTAGTACCTTAATTTGATTCACTTGTTTTCCGTTGGTACGCGGAATTTTTGGAGATTCTTAGAAAATTAAATTTTTTTAAATTTTTAATTTTCAGATATTATCGTAAATTGAATGTAAAAATCATATTTCTGAAAATTAAAATTCTTGGAAAAAAAAAATTTATGCTCTACCAAATGTCCAATATTTGAATTCCCGCGCTACAACGATATCCGCTTAAATCAAGCCTAGCAACTGAGCTATATATTCCACAGTTGTGAAAATTCCAATTTAAATCCACACACTGGAATATAATTAAAGTTTGTCAAATGATACACTAAAGAGTATTGGATTTGGTTTATTTTAGGGTCGGAATTGGAACCAATCCAATCTAGACCCACTGAAAGAGAGCGTAAGCAAAGAGTAAGAGCTGCACCTGCATGTGAGACAAGTGTGTGTATGAAATGAAATGACTTCCTCTAATTAATAACATTATAATAAAGGCTTTAAAGTTTATATAAGGAATATAAATAAATTATTTATATTTAATTTTAAAATAATATTATTTTGAATTAAAAAATTATAATAATAAAGACTATTATAATTTTAAAATAAATTATAATTATAAAAATATCATGATCTTCGATTCAAAATAATGTCATTTTGAGTTAATATAAATAATTTTATTAACTGAAAAAAAAAAAAAAGCCAACCTACGATAAAATAGTGAGGCTATTTTGATAAGTGTGAAACTGAAAGGAACCGTACCAAATACTTCAATTTTCCGCCAGCCCGCATATTTCGCAACCATCTTTCTTTTCAGACAAATTTTCTTACGCGCAGAGCAGAAAATAAAATGTTTAATAAAAAAAAAGGAGAACAAAATAATAAATGTAACTTCTCTACATGTTCCTTTTAATATTAAATTAACTTATTTCTCACTATCCAATTCAATAATTCATTTTCTACTGTTTTAATTTTTCTGTGTGAAAATAAAACTCAATCGCTCTGGTTTTATGCCGGTTGGCAGCTGAAACCGCTGAACTCACCCATTATAATTCAACACCTTGCTCTTCCCACTATCACAATACAACTCATCTTAGCTTCTACGCTTATATTTTTTTCTCTCTCCCTTTTCTCCTTCAAGTCTATCTTCATTGGCAATCCACTATTACTGAGCTTGCATGCGTTCTTAGCAAATTTATTCTGCCCATTATACCCCCAATGACCAAAATATTTTAATCTTGATTTCTTTTATGTATAAATAATAATCCCAACATGAAGTAGCTTTCAGTGTAACGCCTTATAGACTCAGACTCAGAGAGAGGTGGTTTCAGTATTGGGTTCAGTTTGTTTTGTTTGTTTCCTCGGAAAACCCGTTTTGAAACCGGTTCTCCTTTTCCGCTGATCAGAGATTAAACAGAGGGACAGAAACAAACGCTGTTGCTACTTCCTAATTGGCTTACGTTTTCGTTGACGCTCATGAAAATGCTCATGTCCCTAAACTCAAAGTTTGTTCAATACGACACTCCTTCTCACTACTTCTTCGACTTCTATTCCAATGGTAACGCCATTTTCGAACCACACTAATAAAAACTTTACGGAATTTAAGGAAACTTTTTGGAAGTGTTCTTTATATATATGTATTTTTTTTTTCATGTTGCAAGTAACCTACGCATTGAATAATCTTCCAAACTAGAGTTCTAGTCTCGTGTTTGTGTAGTTGGAATTACAGTTTCTTATCAACCAAACAGTGAAAGGTCCTTGGTATAGCTATTATATTAAAGTTATTAACAAATGGGTTCTTCAAAAGCTTGTATCTTTGTTTCTTGTTTCTTTTTCATGTGTTTGGTTTGAAATTCGCAGGGTGGACAAACCCAAATTCTCAGGTACTGAACAAAAACCAAGAAGAGAACATGGCTGAACAACCTTCCATTTTCACAAGCTTGATGGGTTCACAGAATGAGAACCAACTAGAGGCGGTGCCGAAAGTTGAAGATTTCTTCGATAACCAAACGGAGACACATGATTCTTCTTCTCTGAGCCAAATATACGACCATGGTTCTGCCTCTTCTTACTTCAGCAACCATCAAGATCTGAAAGCAATTGCTGGGTTTCAAGCGTTTTCCACCACCAACTCGGGCTCCGAGGTGGATGACTCGGTCTCAAACACCAAAACTGCCGAGTTCGGTGCTCCCTCGGTTGAGTCTTCTAAGGGAACTTTGTCTATGGATGCTATCGCACAAAGTTCTGATAAGGCCATTGTTGTAGCAGGTTCTGATGCATCCGAGAAAATTGCTCATACCTTTGGCCAGCGAACTTCAATTTACAGAGGAGTCACAAGGTAGCTCCATTTCATTTCATCCTCTCATTCTTTATTATTATTATTATTATTTTAAATTACAATAATTTTTATTTTATTTTATTTTTTCTATAATTGTTATCTTCTTTATTTTCATTAATGAACTTCTCTCTTTTACCCTGGAAATGATGCTAACCTTGCGGCTCTGTTGTCATTTATTAATATTGATGTCAAGGTCATAAATTTGGCCTGTTTTCAAACACCTTATTATTATTTTTTATTTTCCTACAGACACAGATGGACGGGTAGATATGAAGCGCATCTATGGGATAACAGCTGTAGAAGAGAGGGTCAAGTCAGGAAAGGGCGTCAAGGTTCATCTCTCTCTCTCTCTCTCTCTTTTTATTGTTTTGAACTTTATTTTATTTTATCTTGGGTAAATGTTTTATTATTTTGAACTTGAGGTAAGAAAATGATGGAAAAATGAATAATAGGGACAAACACTGAAAAGAGGCTTGCATGCATTTGAAAGATATATGCTTTTTTGTTCACAACATTGTTTCATTGTTTACTTATGTTGATAGGTGATATGGTATCGTGCTTGTACTTGTTACTTCATTGTTCTGCAATTTCTGTCAATTGATTTGATCCAATGTGCCGCCATTTTTGTTGTTAATCTCTTTTCTGTGTGCAGCCTCTTCATGTTCCGTACTGGTTTTGCGGGCGTGGCTTTTGCTTTCTGTTAGATTGCGAGTGACGCGTCCAAATATATAAAGAGCTATCTATCCCTTTCTCCTTCTTTCTCTCGCATGCAAATTGTTCTGTTCTTAGTTTGGCTTTAACTTTTGCTTTTTGCTTTCTATTCGCTATGAAAGCTTTGTTTGACTACATCATCCTTCACTCGTTCCATGTTGAAATTTGTACTTACATGAATGTGGTGGAGCGTCCACTGTTGACTGAAAAGGTTTTTCACAGTGGGTCTGGCCCCGCTGAAACAAACTCACGGGATTTCTTGGATCTTTGGATGTTTTGCAGTGACAAAAAAACAAAAAAAAACACATAAAAATCTTATAATAATCACTTTTGTAAGAAAGGAAAAAGGTGTTTTGTCTGTAATCTATCTAATGAGAGAATAAGGCAATTTTCGGCCGAGTATGAAGCTCCAATGGCCTTCATTAATTCAGTTTCGGATTTGAGTCTCTAGTCCCTTTTCAGAATTTATGACTCTTACGAATTGAACCCACTACCTTTGGGTATGTCAATGTTAGAGTCTAGCTAAACGCAACTAGACCAAAAACTCTTACCATATTTTTGCCGATTTTTAGTTGGTTGGGAATTCGGATGTCTTTGACAATGTGCCAGCTTAGTGGGAGTGTTAAACCTTAATGAAGATAGTGATTTGAAAATTCATCATCAATCTGTTATTGTATCTTTATGGTACACTTAATAGTCCTTCACTGTCTGTCTACTATTAGAAAAGATGGTGGGGTAGATGGATCCCATCTCATGAACAGTTATTTTTTCTCTTTGTGGCTAGAATGGGGTGGAAGGAAAGAGAGTAAAAAAGATAAGGAAAAAGAAAAAGAAAAAAAAGGATTCTGTACAGCCACCATTGTATGCATTTGGTCACTTTTCTTTTGGCCATTTACATTTTTAGCTTAAAAAAGTAGTTTTTACCAGAATAATTTGACCACTTCATAAGCTTAAATTTGATTTTCTTGGCTTTTCCTTTGCATGGAATGTGGCATGGTGCACTTCATGGCTGTCACCCATCTTTTTGACTGTTCCTACAGTGTATTTGGGTAAGAAATTTTCTTACTTAATGTTAATGTAGATTGTTTCTCAACTTATCTTCTTAAGCTTGATACTGTTTGAGAGATGATAAATTGTCATGATTATCAGGTGGATATGACAAGGAAGAAAAGGCCGCAAGAGCTTATGATTTGGCAGCTCTGAAGTACTGGGGACCAAATGCTACCACAAACTTTCCTGTAATACTCGCTTCTAGTATTCTGTTTAGATCTATGTTAGTTATGTGTGTCTGTGTGCATGAAATCCTACGTATATAGATGAGTTGAAAACATTGAAGTGGGACTGAATAGTGAGGCAAATTCTCCTAAAGGAATGATTATCAGTTCATACTTGGATGTACGTGTAGTATCTATCTATTTGCTAAGGTGAAACTTGGTAACCCATGTCAAAGAAATAGGCTTTACTTCGTACCTAAAAAGTTGAGGCTAAGGTGGGTGCAAAGTAAATGAATTAAGGTTCTCTTTTTGAAGGGTTTTCAAGCGGTTGTGGGTTATATATGTTTTAATTGAAGATTTTGAATGGACCGTATCAGAACTTGCATCACTTAAGCATATTTTTACCCTCCATTATCTCAGGTTTCCAATTATACAAAGGAATTGGAGGAGATGAAACATGTGGGAAAGCAAGAATTTGTTGCATCACTGCGAAGGTTTGCCTGAGCTGGCCTATTATATAATTAGCACTATACTTCAATGCCGCAACTAAAATTGTACTTCCTCTTGCAGGAAAAGCAGTGGTTTTTCTAGGGGAGCTTCAATATACAGGGGTGTTACAAGGTTTGTAATTTAAAATAATTTAACATAATAATGATGTACTACTGAGTAATTATGTTCTCCATGTCTCTTATACTTTCGGATTCTTCAGGCATCACCAGCAGGGTAGATGGCAAGCAAGAATTGGCCGAGTTGCGGGAAACAAAGATCTATACTTGGGAACATTTCGTAAGTTTTTAGCTTCTATAATCTGATACCATGACATAACTGTAAACTCAAGGACTGATAATCATGTCCTTAAACATCATAGCAAGTCTTCATGATAGACCAGTCCAATGTTGACACTATTTATAATCTATAACATTTGTAATCTTTAACATCATTATTTTGCTGGCATGTCTTAAAACAATTCTTCTTGCATGTTATATAACGATATATTTTTAATATTTTGAAGTTGAATATTCTTGGTACTTGCATTGTTGCAGCAACTGAAGAGGAAGCAGCAGAGGCATATGACATCGCAGCCATAAAGTTTAGAGGTGCAAATGCTGTAACAAATTTTGAGATGAGTAGATACAATGTGGAAGCTATATTGAAGAACTCTCTTCCAATTGGTGGGGGAGGAAAACGCTTGAAGCTTTCCCAAGAACCAGAGAAAGAACCTCCTATTATGAGTATTACCCAACAACCACAGTGTGCAAATGTGAGTAGCAGCATCAATTTCTCAACCATTCAGTCAGTTGATTCTATACCTTATGATTCTGCAACAGCATATTACCCCCACAACCTCTTCCACCATTTTCATCCTACCAACGTTGCTGGCAATAGCACAGCAGAGTCTGCTGCAGTTATGACCAATGCAACCACAATGACTGCACTGCCAGCACCAGCTGAGTTCTTCATATGGCCTCATCAGCCCTATTGAATTCTTGAAATGATCATCTTGTAATCTTTGCTATTTTCTGTTCTGCTAACAAAACAAAAGCTAGCTGTCTCTGGTGCAATTTAGCTTGACGCTCCTTTGATCCTTCTACAATCAACCTTTTACCTGGGAAAATTGAAAGATTGGATGGGTTTTTTTTTTTTTTTTTTTTTTTGTTGGTAAAGTCCTAAGTCTTTGTTGGTGTAAGAAACTGGATTATTTAAGCAGCTTCTCAATGATGAGGAATATTTTGATCTGCTCAATTTTACGTTTTAACAAAGATTTCTTCTTGTGTCTTAACTTGATCAGTGGTATAATAAGATCTTTCTGTTTTACAAGTTTGTTTTTGAGGTTTTTCTCTCTCTTCCCAGTCAAGCGTGAGTCCTATAATTGTCAAATCCCCCTCAAGCAAAAACTTACAAAGATTCCGATATTATAACTAAATCCAAAATCTTAAGGCATTGAGTTTATGAGTCTCCTCACTAATATACACTTCACTTAGCGTATTACCAACTAATGTGAGATTACATCTCACTTGAATATCTTAACAATCTTTTTTCAAGTACGAAATCCAACATTAATATACTCCATCTGAATAGAGTATTTGAGGGCCCAAATATTTAATCTGCCTCTAGCCAAACACTTGGTTAGGCAAAGCCCAACCGACTCTGATATCATTGTTAGAAGGGCCAGTAGCACAAGACTACTACTAATGAACTTAGTTGTACCAATCACATCAAGTAAATGCAATGTTATAATAGTCCATCTTAATTAATTAGTAAATCAAGTGTAATTAATTAATTAAACATGTTTTAGTGAGTAAAATTAAGTATAAGGCTTAATGAAATGAATCTGAGTCACTTTGGAGTTAAAATGTGTACTCAGTAAAAATTAAGGGGTATAAATGGGTGCTGGCAAAAGTGCCCAAAATATAAAAATATAAATATAAATATTCCTAGAAAAATATTCCAGACTTTTGGGTAAAGTTTGGTAATTATTGGAGTTGAATAGATAGACAAACCAATACCCGCTTAAAGCCACTTAACCTATGTTAAGTGACTAAAAGCCAAAAGAATCCATTTCCCCCCATTGCCCGTCGCCAGCAAACAGAAGAAGGAGAAGGAGAAGAAAGGGAGAGAGAAGAAGAGAGAGAGGAGGGAGGAAACCTTGATGGTTTTGGGTGATTCAAAAGCCTAAATCGCTTAGAATCTCGCCCTCTTTCATAATCCAAGCTTAGTTTTAAGTGGGGAGCTTTGTGTGGTGAGATATTGGCTCTCAAAAATTCGGCCCTTTGGAGAAATTTGGGGTTTTGAGTGCTTCAACCTCCATTGAAGCTTGGGGAGCGCTCATTGCATCGTTGTGTGGTCATTGGTGGTAAGTTTCCACTACTTTGCACACTAAATCCCTAGATTTTGCATGAGTTAGGGTTTATGAATAGTAAATTGGGGTTTTGATGAAATGTTGTTAAATTAGCTATGTTCTAGGAAGAATGAAGCTTAAAGCATGTTGTGAAAAATGCTAGGAACGACGTTTAATCGGTGAAAATGAGCTTAGATAGCTAAATGATTATATTTGGAAAATGGCAAGAATATGACACTTAGATATTGCATTTCTTGCATTGTTGATAAATGGTATGGCTTGGTTGATTGATGATTGGATCCTTGTGATGTCTAGGATTGAGACATTTGGACCAACCGTGAGTGATCAACCATTGGAGCAAGCTATGGAGCTTGAGTAGCTCATTGGAATTGGTAAGCTCATACTTGTGTTGTGTTTTGAATGGAGTAGTTGATGGTTGATTGTGAAATACTCTTGGATGCAATGTGTTGATTGCGTTACACCATGTGTAGGTGTTGGTTTTGGAGTAGAGTATTGTTGACATTGGTGGTGAACTAAGGTTGCTGAAGCTTTGAGGTAAGCCTTCGGACCTTGGGTGTAATTCCCTTGATTGTTCCACCAAGCCCTGAAAGGGTAGTGGTGATTATAGTGTATATAAATGCAATGAAATAGTGTAATGCTTTGTTATACGTATGTGTATGCATTTGGTGTGGCATAGGAAGGTGTTTCCCTATGTGGTATGTTGCATGACGATGCGTAAATCATACTTGGTAGTTAGCTGGCCAGTAGGACTATTTGCATCCGAGTTTCCTTAGGACAGCTTGAGAGCTCGAGGGACTTCTCCTGGAGATGTATTGCACTTTGCATAGATATGTATTTACTGCATTATTATTGTTATTGTTATTACACTGATATGGAACTGTGGGGTGGAGAGATGCTCCAAGGACCCCTGGTTTACTGGATATATTCGTATAACTCACCCCGTGTTGTGGGGACCCCCTTTCAGGTAAGGATGCTGCAGGAGCCTCTGGTGGCAAGTGGCCATATCTGGATTATGCATGAAATGTGGCATTTCTTTTGAGATTATACATGTTGTTTTGTAGCTCACATGTATAGAATTGTAATGAATAGGCAATGCTAGATTTATGATTTGTATATTGGAATGGACTTAGCCTATGCTCATGCCTTTGGTCATCTCTTTTGTTGATGGGAGCCAAGGGAATGATCATAGTATTTTGTAAGCTAAGTTCCATGATTTGTAATGGATATGTACTGTAAATGATGCCTACTTGAAGTTCAATATATGCATGCTTGTTATGTATTGAGTTATTGAATTGGTTGGGCTGAGAATCAATTAGGTACCTTTTGTTTAAATTGGGAAACAATGAGAAAACAAAGGTTATGCTGCCCAAATTCTAGCTAAATCTCCTGAGGAGAGGTTGGATGAGTGCTAGGATTTAGTTTTGGGGCATGGACAATTGGGGTTTGGAATGGGGATGCATCTTCCCCTAGACTTGGACTTGAAAAATCTGGGGATTGGAATTCCCTGGCAGCGCACTTAAGCGCCCAGGAGCGCGCCCAAGCGCCCTGCTGCCCCTGTGAGTGCCAATGCATTCGGCCTCCTCGCGCTGGAGCGCCCAAAATGGGGCTTAAGCGCCCAGGGTCGCGCGCTGGAGCGCCCTGGTTTGCGCTGAAGCGCCCTTCGCTGCAGAAAGATGGGATGCTTACTGTCCCCTCGAGTTTTAGCGCCCAGGGTTGCGCGCTTGAGCGCCCTGGTCCGCGCTTGAGCGCCCTTAGCCACTGAAGGAGGAGATGCTTCTGTCTCTGCGCGCTAAAACGTCCCAATGGGAGATTGAGCGCCCAGGAAAGCGCGCTTGAGCGCCCTGTTGCGCGCTTAAGCGCCCATCTACACTGAAATATCTGATGCTTCCTGCCTCCGTGCACTTAAGCGCCCAGATGGAGGCTTTAGCGCCCGATAGCGCGCGCTTGAGCGCCCGGTAGCGCGCTGAAGCGCGCGGGGCCTGTGACCAACACTCTCTTGTGTTGCTTCAAATTGTCCTAACTTGGGCTACAGTGCTCCGATTTGAGCGCGGTTTGAAGCCACGCATAGCTAATGAAGAGATCTACAATATAGCAGAAGTTGTGAAATAAATAAGAAGTAAATTAATGGTTTAAAAATAGAATAAGAACATGATGTTAAGCTTAATTTATCTGATTCCGCAAGGTAATATGGTTATGATCACGAAATTGGGTATTACAAGTTCGGTATGTTTTAAAATGAAAAATTTATCCGGATTTTAATTGAACCCATGTGATTGTAACTGCGCTTAATATCATCATGCGATGTTAACAAACTGGTTCTAGAACGGGTTGTTACAAATGTCATATCACAACGCCACATAAAGTGAATTCATGGATCAATCCACTTATATCAATTTCACTTAATCTTATTAGTAACTAATGTAAGATTCAGAACATTTAAATATCCCAATAATGCGCAACTTGTGCAAAACCTAAAACATGTTTGTCACATGTCTTGCTTTATAATATGAGTATGGGGGCATAAATTAAGATATATTGAATTTTAGAAAAAAAACATAAATTATCACAATATAATGTGTTTCAATATATTTAATATAAAATTAATATTTTTTATATTATAGAAAATAATTTTATCTCTTATATATGAATTCACATGAGAAGGAAAGAAAAAAAAAATATCTCATCTAGTTTTTGACATGTAAGTGAAATAATTTTATCTTATATATTACTCCCATTACAAAATTTTTGTTTTAAATATAAAGTAGAAAACAACTCATTACATTAAAAAAAAAAAAATCATTAAAAAGTAAGGGGGAAAAAAAATTAGGGGCCTAATCGATTCAACCCATTCCGAGCCTCCACGGAATCGGGGTGAACATCAAGAACCTTCTGGAACGCATCGTTAGCCTCTGTCTTCATCCCTTTCCATTCGTAACACTTTCCCAACAAACACAGCGCCTCCGAGTTACTATTCTTCCCTCCACTCAGTCCCACAGCCTCCACCAGGTCTTCCACCGCCGAGTCAACTCGCCGCCGCATGTTCACGGCCACCTTCAGTACCGCCCTGTTGACAAGCGCGGCAGAGCGCTCCGCCGCGGAGAGGGACTTCGCGGCTGGCGAGGAGAGGGCGGTGTCGAGTGACCTTAAAGCGGCGACACGGTGGTTCATAAGGTGGAGGGCTCGTGATCGGAGGATATGGGCGGAGGGGTCCCTAGGCGAGATGGATAGGGCTCGATCTGCTTCGATGAGCGCGCTTCTGGCGTGTTGGGCTCGGTGCGAGGTGGATCTGGCTCGAGCCAGGTGGCGCGATGCTTGAGCCAGGTAGCGGTTCGGTTCGGGTTGGCGGTTCTTGTTGCGGGTTCGAGTTCTGGCTTGGGTTGTTTGGTTGCGGAGATTGTGCATGACGAAGAACAGGGATAGGGTTAGGATTAAGATTCCCAATTGCAGCATAGCCTCTGGTGCCATTAATATTATGGTTTTGCTATGTGATTATGGAGTACTGTGTTAAGGTAAACAGAAGTGGATAAATCAAAGACAATATTAAAAATTAGAGTAAACATCCTTTTTAGTCTCTCTCAATATCTACGAAGTCCTTTTTAGTCCCGGACAATAAAAAAGGACAAAATTGGTCCCTAAAATTACAAAAAAAGGGGCCATGTTAGTCCTTATGTCAACTCCCAAATATGTAGAGTGACCTTTTTTCATATACTTTCAGGGATCAATTTGGTCCTTTTTTATTGCCAGGGACTGAAAAGAACTTCGTAAATATTGTCAGGGACTAAAAAAAGTGTTTACTCTAAAAATTATCTCATTTTATTTTTATATTTTCTTCGGAAAGGGAATAAATCACTGACAGTCGTGTAGGCCCCGAGTGTAATGTTTTTATTATATGAACCTTCTTTTTCTTTTTTCTTTTTTCGTTTGTATTTTTCTGTTTGGCTTCAGTGAAAAGTAAATTTCCCAAAGGGCACTTCATTGCCAAAACATAATATTCCTAAAACCTTTTAACCTATTAACCAAAAAGAATTTATTTTATATAGAATATAATAAGGGAAAAGAATATTGTAACAATTAAGTTGTGTTACTATACTACCATGTTATTACCAATCAATCTCATTGTTAGATTGATTATGTTGATCCAACGGTTATATTTATTTCTATCTTTGTATAGTCATGATTTCTCCAATTTAATACTTTATATTTATTTCCACCTTTGTATGGTTATGATTTCTCATATTTAATGCTTTCACTTTAAATACGGGGAATCATAACCATAAAAAGATGAAAATAAATATAATCGTTGGATCAAAATAATCGATCTAACGATGAGATTGATTGGTAGTAACATGGTAGTAACACAACTTAGTTGTTACAATATCCTTTCCCATAAAATCTTAAATGACTTTTACTTTCACTGGCATTTTTTTTTTTTGAGTAAATATTTTTTTTTGATTCTTAAAAAATACGGCTTTAAAGCGGATCAATTTAGTTGAAATCGTGACCTCTCACAAATTTCAAAAAATACTCATATTAATCCTTCAAAAGAACTAAAATGGATCTATTTTGAATTTCATAGGATCAACTAACTAATTTTTTTTTATAAAGAACTAAAGTGGGTACCGTATTTTTTTGGTTAGGGATTTAAAATTATATTTACTTTTTTTTTTCCATATGAAGCAAGAGGTTTACATTTACAATTTAAAATTCGTGCCTCACTTTATGTATAAAAAGTTCAAAAAAGTTACAATAATGTTATTAGAAATTATGAAATCATGCAGTAAAGTAAAGAAATCAATTAAAAGGGTAAAAGTTACAATTAAAAATGACAAAGTTGTAAGAAAATATATATAGGAATACTATATATTCTTTAAAGTGTAGAAATAAACGTCTCAATAAAAGAGAGAGGGGAAGGCATAAAACATGTTAATAAAGTGGCATATATATAGGGATGTGCTTGGAGCGGTTCATAACCAGTTTTGACAAAAACCGATCCGATCCGATTTTAAACGGTTTGGTTTTCAAACCGAACCAGTTTTCTTTTTTTAAAATCGGTTTTTAATTTTCTAAACCGGTTTATGGTTCATAACCGGTTTTGATTTAAAACCGGTTTTAATTCAAAACCGGTTTTAAATCAAAACCGGTTATGAACCATGCAAATTCAAATCCGGTTTATAGCAAATAATTTTATGGTTATGTATAATCTCAATCGAAATGGTCACATAATCTCAAGATACAAATAATCTCCTCATTTTATCTTCACACAACACTCTCAAGTCTCAATCAACAGAAACGAAAGAATCAAATTCCAATACCTTTGTACCTTCTTCTTAACCTTGAAGCTACTGGAATCCATGAAACCACGTACAACTCCATCATGAAAAGTGATATTGATATTAGGATTTAGGAGGGATCTGATCTATATGGAAATATTGTGCTTAGTCAACTATGTTTCCTGGCATTGCTGATCGAATGAGCACAGAAATCGCTGCTTTTGCTCCCAGCAGTGTGAAAATGATGGTGGTTTCGCGACAAATTAACCTCGATAACAAAATTCACGTGTGCCAAAGAAAACCTGAGCCCCATCGCACTCAATTCCTCTCCCAAAAGCATTCTTCGAAACTCCCACTCCAAATTCGCAAAGAACAAGGATTTTGCTTCAAAGTTCACAGAACCAAAAACGAAACAGAACGTTGTCGTTTCGCGAAGAAGGTAAGTAAAACAGTTTGGTTATGGATAACCATGGATAACCAATTATTTTATGGTTTGGTTAATAACCAGTTTATAAAATAAAATGCAGTTTGTTATGAAACCGGTTTTTAAAAATAACCAGTTTTTTTTTTTTTTTGGTAAACAAATAACCAGTTTTTTAAATATGGAATGGTTTGGTTATGGATTGGTTTGGTTCTTTTGGACATTTTGAACACCCCTACATATATATACTCACAAAAAAGTGACATATATATTGCTTTAATATTTTAAAAAGTGATAAATTCACATTAATTTGAAATTTATGGTTAAAATTTTATTTTCATTAAATGGTCTTAAATGATGTATGTTGTTCGGGAAAAAAATTATATATAATTATTTTAATGAATAATAATGGATATATAGTCGTTTTAAATTAATTTACGGATATATTGCACTCAATTTTGTCCCACTTAGGCAAAACATGTTTCGTCCAAATTAAGCGAAATAAGGAAGGGAGTTTCGGCCAAGCTAGGCGAAACTAGTCTCGCCCAATTGGGGCGAGACTCAAGCCCTCTTTTCGCCCCACCCAGGCGTGATTGACCCAGTTATTCCTATTTAAACTTATATCCTCTCCACACTCTTCACAATTCTTCTCTATCATAAACCTCCTCTCCACACTTTTCATACTCTCTTTTATTTTTTCTGTTTATATATTTAAGAATGAGTTCACATTCTGATTATGTTCGTGTTATTTTATATTATAATGGTAGGAAAGTTGAAGGCAGACGTGGTGTAGTTTTTGAAGGCGAAAAAAAGCCAACACGTATCAAGCGCAACTCAACAATTACTGAACTACATCAGAGAATTCGTCAAAAGTTAGCTTTCCAAGGTAACAAATCTATCACTCTGGTCACGACAAGATTATGGCAATCTAAACAATACATTAGTTTGCAAGTAGTGGATGATGAAGACGTAGATATGGTAATGGAAGAATTTTTCAACCAGTGAAGGAAAGATTTCTTAGAGTTGTACGTGGATATTGCCAGAGCAGAGGGTGTTGTTTTACCCATGAGGTTAGTTGCTTTCAATTCTCCACGTAATGCATTGTCATCTGCTGCTCCAGTAGTTAACATGTCTGAGGAAGATGAAAATGACCCTACCTGGGTTATGGATGAAGATTATGATGATGACGATGATGAAAATATCATAGTGGAAGATCATCTTCTAGCCGAGGATGCTAGTGCTTTGGACAATGATGAGGATCGTGGTCTGCTCGCGACTTAAATCAAAGAATATCATGATTGGGGGTGAGTCTCAAGTCGCGAAACATCATGACATGTGATTGACTCAATCACCACAAAATTATGAAGGTATTTAGTAAAAACTCATATATACATATATGTTTATGTTTATGTAATTTTTGCTTTTTGTTACTATTACTAATTCGTACATGCGAGCAATGAGGTCGTTACTCCTTTTTGGGATGGAATCCCATATTACACATATATTGATTGGAATCATTTGAGCGTATAAGAATCTTATACCTCGCTTCCGGTTCGGGTTCAGTCCATGGTCCATGGCAAATTGGGGAAAAGTAGTTTGTTAATCAATAATTTGTATAAAAAAGAGAGGTGCAGATGACAATCAAGCGCAACCTCATGAAGGAGCATCGAGAAGCGATTGTGGTTGAGAGCATGCCTACACAGTTAAACATGAAATGTTTTTCGCATGAACAGGGTTGCCCGTGGAGGGTTAGGGTCATAAAACAAACGTATGGTGAAAATTGGAAGGTTACTAAATGGGGTGGTGATCACGTATGCTTGAATGACCATATTTCTCAGGATCACAGACAAATTGATTCTAATGTTATTGCTTCCCTTGTACTAGGTACGTTATTTTAGAATTTTTTGAATATTAGTACATTATTTTAGAAATTTTTGAATATTAAAAAATAATTGTGTCCATGTTTGCCTTAATGCGTATGCTGCAATTTGATTGTTAGGGATGATAAGCAAGGAACCATCGGTCTCAGTTGCACTAGTTCAGGAGAGGATAACTCATTCTTATGGCTTTAAAGTTTTATATATAAAGGCATGATATGCGAAGCAGAAAGAAATTGCAATGATGTATGGTGATTGGGAGGAATCTTATGTATTTTTGCACAGGTGGTGTGAATATATTCTTCGCTTTTCACCAGGTTTTGTTTACCATCTTCAAACAAATGATTATATCATCGAGTAGTTTCTAGAAAATGTGTATTTCATCGTATTTTATAGACTTTCAGACAGTGTTGCGAGGCATTCAATTATTGCAAACTAATTATTCAAATTGATGGCACTCATTTATATGGCAAGTATAAAGGGAAATTGTTGATTGCCACAACTTAGGGTGGAAATAATGAATGTTTGCCACTTGCATTTGCCACTGTTGAGGGTGAGACCTTCGAAGCCTGGGAGTACTTTCTCTCCTTCATGCATTTTCATGTTACGCAGAAGACAAATATATGTCTCACATCGGATAGGCACACTAGCATATTAGCTGCTGTGGACAGTCATGCTAGTTGGAAGCCACCGCATGCACATCACGTGTTTTGCCTTCGTCACATTGCTAGCAATTTTAATCAAAGAGTCAGAAATGACAAATTGAAGAAGGCGGTAACGAATTTAGGTATGGTTAACAACCCTTATCTCCAATTTGAATGTATTAATGTATTTCTATGTAAATACATATCTATTTGTGCAGGTTATACTCATTTTTATGGTAGATTTTAGAATGCCTTTGCACGATTTCGTGATACTATTCCCGAGGTTGCAAAATGGATCGATGGTATAACAACCCTCAATTTTAAACATATGAATAAAAGAGATTAATAGAGTGTTTAAGGAATTAAACACCAATTCAAATATTTTGTGAGAATTAAATCATGTGATTGACATGATAACTAAGCTAAGAATACATTTAATGCCAGAAACGTCTAATAGGACCCAAGTATAAGTATGAAATATATGTGAGGACATAGATGTTAGTATGATAAAAGTTAGGGTTATCTTGGTAATTGACCAAGATTAGGTTAAAGCTTGAGTTAGATGGTCTAATTAAATTGTGTGGTTAAATTCCTGTGGTGAGAGAATTCCTCGAGGAGTCTCCTCAGGAAACACCTTGAGGAATTTCCTCACCACAGGAATGCCGATAATATCCTCCTATGTCCCACTCACCAAACCTCCCAGCATGATATAACCAAATGCCCCTACTCCCAAGGCTCTCCTAGCCTGCAACACTGATATATAAGGAGAAGAACTGGCAGTGAAATCACAAGAAGACATCACCACTTTCTTAGCACAACAATCAATCATCACACAATTCTTGGATAACCAGTCCATGCCAAGGATCATCTCCAAATTAGCCATCAGTAGCCCAATCAGATCTACCGAGTACTCACGACCATCCCATTGAAACACAACATCACAGTGTACAGAGGAAGTATCACACTTTTCTCTAGTGGCAGTAGTAACCCGCAAAGGTGGAGAAAGCACAGAAATGGGCAACTCAAGCCCCACAGCAATCAGGGTCGCGATGAACGAGTGCGTAGCCATGGAATCAAATAACACATCAACGACACAACTACCAATAGAAATAGTACCTCTCGCAAGGTTCGCAGCTCGATCCGACTATTGTCGATCCAGGGTGTAAACTCGGCCCGTAGACGGTGGCATGACAGTTGCTGCTGTAGGTGGAGTAGGAATCATCTGCAAAGGAACCACATGAACTGCTGCAGCTCTAGCAGCTGACGAAGGACAATCTCTGGCATAGTGGCCCTCCTTGCCACAATGGAAACAAATGATCTGACCGGTGGAACACGACCCAACATGTGATCTCCCACATCCAGTACATCTGGGAACGGTGGAAGGCCTAGTTGCACTCCCCTGCCGAGTTAATGTTCTCTTGAACTGGTTCGGCGCCTGCCTGGCAGATAAATGCTTCCCTTTGCCTTTCCCTCCAAACTCCTTGTCTCTCCAGGAAGTGGAGCTACCATCTCCCTTCATCTCAGGCTCCCCCCGTCTTCCTCTTCTTGTTCTTTATGTAAACATCCTCAATATCACGACATTGTTGGATCAAGGTACCAAAGTCTCTGGAGGAAGCACCAGCAATACGATCTGCTATCTCTCCATTAAGTCCCCTACAGAACTTAGAAGCCAAGAATGCCAGTGTAGGCATAGCAATACAAAAATGGGCAAATTTGGCCAGTTCATTGAACTTAGTTAAGTATTCATCAACAGACATTGAGCCCTGTATCAAGCGCTCAAACTCACCTTGCTTCCTCTCCAGAGCATCATACGGAAAGTACCTCCCCATAATTAGCTCCTCAAAGAATGGCCACGTGATAACATGACCCTGCATCTCATAGAACTGAGAGGTGTTCATCCACCACTCGTGAGCATCTCCCTCCAGCATATGAGTAGCAAACACTAGCTTCTGGGGATACGTACACTACTTCACCCTAAATATCTTATCCAGGGCCTGAAGCCATCTCGCAGCAACAATGGAATCATAGGATCCATCAAATGAAGGTGGCTTATGCCTACGAAAAGCATTCAGCTGACGATATCTCGTCTCCTAGTCTTCTGCTGGCTCACAATAAGGTTGCATCAGTCCCGTCAGGTGGCTCACACCCTCCATGTGGCTCAGACCGTTGTGGTCAGGAATATGTGTTCCTCCTCCTCCGTCCCCATCATGGTCACTAGGTGGTGATGGAGGTGGCGGCGGTGGAGGTGATGGTGGAGGAAACTGCTCATTGCGACTAGCCCTCATCTCCTCCAACATGACCCTCATTATGGTCATGTTCGCCAGCCTGTTCGCCTCGAGCACGTCCTTAGTAGCTTTCTGGTTTCCCTCTCTCATGGCGTCCATCACAGCCTGATTGGCCACTCTAATGGCCTCCTGGTCGGCTTGTCTAGCCGCCTGCATCTTAGCTAATGCAGTCAGGATAGGATCAGGATGACCCTCATTTGTCTCTCGGGTCCTTCTAGGAAGTACCATGACTCTGCACATGTTACACAAAGAATGAGTTGATCAGACCTACACAATGCGGTCACACATGCATTATCATAGCAAGACCTAAAAGAAACTCACAAGACAATTCACACGACAAGGCATCTTAAGTTATTGCAATACATACAAGCTTTTTTCCTAAAAAATGCTCTGATACCATGAAATATAACACCCCGTGTGCACTCGGTGTATTATACATACATATGGTAATAGGGCAGCTAATTAAATGCGGAGGCTAACTTTTTCTTTCCAATTATGAAATCATTCATTATTAACCAAGTGAATTTACTTATTCTTTTTTAAAATATTGCCTGTATGTAAATTGCAATAAATAACTAACTGAATAACCTCATCAAATATATATGCATCTAGTCCCGGAACTACAACACGTAGACCAGACAATATCCAGATACAATTATACAACTCAAGTATAATCAAACACGTCTGATAACAATGTGGCATGGACAACCCACATGCTCACCAAATAAGGCAACTTAGCCAAACGATGTCTCAATCAATAGCCATATAATAAATAACAAGGCATATATAAATCCAAAAGCGGTAACAGGTAGACATGCATATATCAGCTCAACTCCGGCCTCCTGCACCAGAGGTCTCAACCTTAGAGATACCTGTACCTAAAAATGTATCCCACACGGGGTGAGATCTCTAAAAAGAAACCTCAATAAGACAAGGGGTCCTCAAGGATCTCTCCACCCCAGGCTCACTTACATGTGCAATATAATTTCAAAAGCACAATATCATCATAATTTCATAATCCGTGCAATGCAGGGTATATCCATGTCATGTGTGTATATACATTCTACTGGCCAGAGAATAAAAGGTAGGACTTACGTACATCTACAGCCCATAGTACTCTTGTACCTCACCCACGGAGTTACCATCTTGTATGTCTCCACATACTCAGGGGTTACCGTCTAGGTGGAACACCACATACATATCATATGGCAGTTGCACTCAAAATCAGCTCAATAGCATATAAATAATCATCACATATTTTTTAAAACACATCATGCATATAAACCATCCCTCCATGAGGTATGGCGGAACCAACAATGGGCAAAACCAGGGACATGAAAGGTTACCTCTCAAGCTAACAATCCAAACTAAGATTCCACACTAGCCCACGTCACCAAACAACATACTCACAGTCTGTTTATAACAAAACATTATCAACATTCATCATCTAGAAGTTCATTACATTACGAAAACGTTTCCTTTTTCGTTTAATTCCCTTAGGCTTCCTTCGAAGCCATAAGCCTTCATTCTAATTGGTTCTGACTTATTACAGAGGTTCATACTATTCAACATAGGGTCTATAAACCAAACCCACGCTTCTGTTTGGACAGAACGACTCAATGCACGAAATTTTCCAGAATATCCGGATATTCCTTGGGGCATATCTGGATATCATATCCAGATATCACAAACCCCATATCTGGATATCAATATCCGGATATCATATCCAGATATTTCGCGATAGAATACAGTTTTTGCATTTTGCGAAGATATCCCTCCAAGACACAATTTTTAATGATTCTAGACGTTCAAGCATGCGTTTTTAGGTGTGTTATACTTTACAACCCTTAAGTTATCAACTTCCACTTATTACATGCATCAAGGTTCATTATTTCTATAGAAAATCAAGAGCAAAGGTAGTGGTGCTTACCCAAGGGCTCAAAACAGAGAAAAAGAGTGGTCTTGGAGCTTCCTACACAGCTCTATGATTCTGACTACACAAGACCACGAAAATGGCTATCAAGCTTGTTCTTTTTCTCCACAAGGTATCTCCTTGAAGCTTCAAAGGCCAAGGAAAATGGCTTCCCAATCCAATAACCAAAGAAGTTAGCCCTCACACACTCAACACAGTGGCTGCAACAACTCAGAATGTGGTGCCTCTCTACCCCCAAGGCTTGCTCACAACAACTATAGTGATTCGTTGTAGAAACTTGGGAAAAAGATGATCACTTGGGAAGTTTTTGAAAAGGATTGAAGGTGGCAAGGTGGGGAACCAAGGCTTCTGACAGAGAGGCTCGTAGAGGTGTATTCAAATGCCCTAAAAATCTGTGCGACTTAGTATTTATAGGTGCATTAAGTTAATCCGTCGCTATTAGCGCTATTTGCTCCGCTACTCATTTTAACCTCAAACTTTAGATTCTTAACCTAGCCATTTTTTTAGGATTTATCATATTTTTATTATAATTTTTACAGCACTCTGCCGATGCGCAATTTATATATAGTCGGTATTAGTTCTGACATCAGCACTCATTATTCTTACTCCAAACTTGATATACTTGACCTAGATATTTTTCTAGCAATATTCATGTACTCATTATAATTTTTCGGGATACTTCATCGGTACGCATTTATACCATGAAGCAGAACCGGATCCGCACTTTTCGTCAGAAAAGCGACTTTCAGCGTTATTATGCCCTTATAATAATTATTTAAGTCTTCCCATATTTATTCAAGGTCAAATATGGAATTACTTCTTAAACTAATAATTAATTTATTTAAATTCCTAATTTAACGGTGCGAGTTCTTACATCATTGTTATGTTGTTATATTTGGTGAGCATGAGGGTTGTCCATGCCACATTGGTAAAAGTTATGTTTGTTTCAGACTGGTGTTGTAATATTGTACCAGGATGTTGTCCGGTCTACGTGTTGTAGTTCCGTGACTTGATACATTATTTATATATTGAGGCTATTCAGTGTAGTTTCTATTGCAATTTACATACATGCGTTATTTTGAAAAAGAATAAGTAAATCCACTTGGTTATTATAATATATTTCATAATGGGAAAGAAAAAGTTAGCTTTCGCATTTATTGAGCTACGCTATTACCTTTTGTATGTTAATACACCAGGTGCACACAGGGTGTTACATGATGCATGATATGAATTACCGATTCTAATTTCATACTTGTAATAGGTGATTTGGTGTGCGAGTAAGTTTTAAAGTTTGTGGACTAGCTTTCTTGGATTACAAGTAAGCATTGAATTGGAAGCTTTAAGAGGTAAGCTTTCGATTTAGGAGTTTTCTCCTTTAAGAGGTAAGCATTGATGTGTGTATGAATGTTAGATACTTAGTATAGTTGCATTCTTGTAGAGAAGTATACAAGACGATATAATTTGATTGATTGACAAGTGATTAGTGATGTGATGTGATGATTTGAATGAATGGGTGTTATGAGCTGATTGAATGACTGATCAGTTATTGGCCAATGAACTAATACATGAACCTTCTTTGGGGAATTCATCCATTGGGACAACCCTTAGAAGTGTATTTTCCTTGGGAAATTTATCTAGTGGTAGATGAGATCGAGATGGCTCCTATAGAACGAATAAAGGACCGGGAACTATCATATATGGACATTCTTATGCGTATCCATTGGGACAACTCTTAGAAGTGTATTTTCCTTGTGGAATTTTTTCAGTGGGACAACTCTTGGAACTATCATGTATGGACCCTCCAAGGGGAATTTATCCATTGGGATAACCCATAGAAGTGAACCATCCTCAGGGATTTATCCATTGGGACATCCCTCGGAATGGTTATTTGTGTGTGTTATTCCTTGGGGTATTTATCCTTTGGGATCACCCTAGGAAGATTCAGAATTGTGTAAATATGGTTTTGTGTGAGGTTTCTCCTTGGGGCATTTATCCTTTAGGATAACCCTTGGATGATTCTGACTTTGTATATGGATGTGTATATGATGTCTGCTATGCTATGATATTTAATCTCTCATGCAGGAAGTGAACTCATGGATAGAGACTGCTTCATAAACCCTGAGTTTACTGAGATGTTGAATCTCACCTCGTTTAGGGATATGTTTCAGGTACTCCAACAGCAGCATGAGAGCCCTCATAGGGCAGGAGGCCCACACAGGGTTAGGGCATCCATGACCTACGGAGATTTATGTTTTGGGATTACTATATATACATTTTGTGGGCATGTTATAGTATCATGCACAATTGTATAGGCAAACATGTATTTTGATGGATGATTATATATTATTTTGAGTCGTGAGACATGTTCACGCACTTATGTATATAGTCTGAGATATATGTTGAGAGGAATGTATTTATATATGACGTATATGGTTTATATTTGAGGCATATGTAGCCTTTATGTCATTAGATACTTTTGATATTGATAATTATGTGAATATATACATGATATGTTAGATTATGGGAATATTGGCACAGAGCCACTTTTTGTATGAATACATGGATAGATTCTAAGTTTGTTATGTTGGACAGTTTGATATTATGACTGGACTGAACTTTTTTGATTTTCAGGCATTTTTTATGAAGTGGGAATTATCCCTGGATTGTCCAGTTTACAACAGAAATGTTGTCTGCAAGATTCTATCAAGGATGGTACAGGTTATCATACTCGGATAGTCATTGACCATCGATTTTGATTACAAGATTATTAAGTTGGATTGCTGTGCAGGTATGAGACTGTACAATTTATGTTAATAATAAAAAATGAAATGAAAAAGTTAAGTCATATGTTCACTTAGGTGTGAGTGATACTTTTATAACATAGCTTCCGCAAATTTTAAGTAATTATGTTGCGCTTAATACCATATTGAATGTTAACTAATCAGTTTGAGAGGGGCATTACATCTCCAATGCACCTAATAACCAACTCAATAACATTTCATGATAATCAAGCATCAAAGCATACTTTTATCAATGAAATATCTAACTTTGGCATAAGTATTAACTCATTACATTATGCTCTTGACATGATCATCATTCAAAGGTAATATACATCAAAATAAATGTAATTTCATCCTTCCTTAAATCTTATGATGTTCATATTACAAGTTGAGATATACGTGCCCTTCAATTACATTACAATTTCACCAAAATCATATCTAACTCACAATTAGCTTTCTTTTTGACATAGGTACATATATGATTAAATATACAACTTCTCAGTTTACAACATCCAAATATACATTTCTAAAAGAAAGTCCTATCATATTCCTATATCAAAAGGACCAACTCAAAGGTATAAAGGTCATCATGCTCTATATTGGCTTCTTAGCATAGGAAGTCCCAACTCCATCACTTGTTATATCTGAAATATAATTCCCCACACGGGGTGAGATAATAATCTCAGTAAACTAAGGGTCCTTAAAGACTCCTTCACCCTTAAGTTTACTTTCATGATAAACAAGGATTAAAACAAGCACATCATAATATATCTCATCTAAAGAAGCATATATGCATATATATATATATATATAGCACAAGAGCCATTCCATTAGCCAACTTGCCAAACACAAGAATGCTCTTATGACACTTTCGAGAGAAGTCCCAAAGGACTCCTCCTCTTAGGTGTTAATTACAAGGAGTTTCTCTATGAACCTAGCTCCAAGGGAAGTTTATATATCCATATTCTTCTGGCCAAGGAAAATCCTAACTCATGCAATCATACATGAATACATTTCTCATATCAAGCAATAATACTCATTCTAATGCACAAGCACATCAATCAAGATAAACCATTACTCCAAATGGAGTATGTGGCACACCAAAGGAGATTAATCCCAAGGTCCAATAGTTTACCTTATCAAAGCTTCCTCTAAGTCTCTTAACCTTTCCAACCAAGTGCCAAGTGCATCATAATCACAACACAACCTATACCAAAGGTGTGTATCCAATCAATCACATATATACACACATAAATAATCAAGTAAACCTCATAAGTCCTCAAGGATATAGATTTTAGGGACTTACCCTTTTACTTAAGGTTTCAAGAATCCAAAGCTTTGCTCAATGTTGTTTCCAATCAACTTTCACCATTAGGTTTAATACTCCTACACATAATATACGCATAACACCCATCAATTTCACCATTTCACAACATAGCCCAAAATCCCCAAAATCTATTACCCTAGGTCATAGAATCTTTAAGGAAATCAAAATTCCTTACCTCAAAGCTTCAGCCAAGGAGGAAGAAGAGATTTCTATAATATCCCTCAACGTGAATTTAATTGATTGCATGTAATTAGGCAATTAATCTTGTATTAGTGGGTAAAATTAAGTATAAGGCCTAATTATATAAATTAGGGTCACTTTTGAGGTAAAAAGTGTTGTTTGTGAAAATTTTGGGGTAAAAATGAGTGTAGACAAAATTACCCAAAATATAAAAGTAAAGTTAAAAATAATATTAGAAAAATATTCTAGACCCTTTGGTTAAGTTTCGTGGTGAATGAAGGTGAATAGATAGATGAGCTTATACCCAGTTGAAATAACTAACCTATACTAAGTGGTAAAACACCACAACCCACTCCATTCTTCTTCTTCTTCTTCAACAAAATTGAGAGTGAGGGAGAGAACCCATTTTCATGCTAAAAACCCTAGCTCACTCATCTCTCACCCAAACCAATCCATTCCAAAGGCAAACCTGCATCAAATTCCTTCCTCTTCACAACCCACCACTCATTGTTAGTTGGGAACCATTGTGGGTGGAGATCTTGGCTTGTTTGGGGGACGAAAATCTTGAAGATTAGAGGTGTTTAGAGGCATTTCCTTCAAGGGGAGCTTAGGAGATCAACATTCCATGGTTGTGTGATCTCTTGGGGTAAGTTTCCACTCCTGAAACTTAGTTTTCATGGAGATTGTAGGATTGAGGAAGATGATGAATAGTGTTTTTGGATTGCGTGAGTTTGAGTTTGATTTAAGCTTAAATCCTTTGTAAAAGTTGTTAGAAAGGATAAATAAACGGGAAATGAACTTAGATAGTCATTTGATTATGCTTTGAAAATTGCAAGATTATATACTTGGTTTGTCGATTTTCTTGAATTGGTAAACAATGGTTTGGTTGGATTTTAATTGTGTCCATGTGATGGCTAGGATTGAGCCTTGTGGACCAACATTGAAAGACCTACATTGGAGGAAGCCATGGAGCTTGATTAGCTCACTTGAATTGGTAAGTTCATGCCTATTGTGGTGTGTGAATATGTTTGTTTGGTTGATGACAATTTTGGTATTCGTTGGATTATCTTGACAGATTTTCTAATACCTTGATGTAGGTATTGATTATAAAGCTTGATTGTTTGAGTTGGTGAAGAACAAAGGATGAGATTGGAAGCAATTGAGGTAAGCCTTCGAACCTTGAGAATTGATCCCTTTATTGTTCCACCAAGCCCAGAATGGGTAGTGGTTATTGATAGTGTTGTATACGCAATAAGGTAGTTTAATGCTTTGTTATACATATGTGTATGCATTTTGTGTGGCATAGGATGATGTTTCCCTATGTTTTGTATGTTGCATGACGATGCATAATTCATACTTGGTAGTTTAGCTGGCCAGTGGGATATTTTGCATTTGAGTATCCTTAGGACAGCATGAGAGCTCGAGGGATGTCTTCTGGAGATGTCTTTACACAATGCATGGATATGTATTTACTGCATTATTTACTGATTATTGCTATTATACTGTGAGTGAACTATGGGGTAGATAAATGCTCCAAGGACCCTTGGTCTATTGAGATGTTTTCGTACATCTTACCCCGTATTGTGGGGACCCCCTTTCAGGTATAGACGCTGCGGGAGCCTCTGGTGGCAAGTGGCCATACTTGGACTAGATTGATACATGAGGATATTACACTATTTTGGGTTATGCATGTCATTAGTAATTCCTATGTATAGAATTTGTAATTGAAAGCCATTTGATATATGTATGTCATGCTTTATTTTAGGTGGACTTAGCCTATGCTCATCTCCTTTGGTGTCTCTTGTTGTTGATGGGAGCCAAGGATTTGATCATGGTGTTTTGTAACTAAGTCACATGGTTATGTATTAAAGACATTTAGAGATTGTGTAATAGTGTGCTTATTGTATATATGATGGAAGGGCATGGATTCCTATTTTGATAAATGTGTGTCTTGAAATAGCCAAGAATCATGTGTTGAAGTGATGGTATAATCTCTATTAGGTGAAAGAAAACCCTTCGAGTTGAGAATATATGTAAATATAAGAATATCATGTATTGTTATCCATTTTTCATATCCTATATGATGGATTTGGACCTTGTGTCTTATTGGAAGTTATAGATCTTTCTTTTAGCTTTCCAACGAGACCAACACTGCGTTAATCAGATATGTATAACTCAAATAATGGGTAAAGTACTAAGGTTAGGTATAATCTCCAGAACTTTGGCGCTATTAGCGCCGTGGTGGTGTTAACCGCGCTAAGATACAGTGGAAAAATGTATTCCCGGCACTATTCACGCCATGTTGGATGTACTCAATCTCAACTGAGTTCAAAAAGCTCCCTGCAGTGCGTTCCAGAACTGAGATGTGAACTTCGGGTCCCTATTACTGATGATACTCTCGGGCACCCCATGAAGTCTCATGATCTCGCGAACATAAAGTCTGGCCAACTACTCAGCAGTGAAGCTCACCTTTACTGGTAGAAAATAGGCAGATTTAGTCAATCTGTCCATAGTGACCCAGATAGAGTCACAACCAGCCTGAGTCTTAGGCAGTCAATGGTAGAACCATCTTGGAGAACCCCTCAATGAACCTCCTGTAGTACCCAGCCAAACCAAGGAAGCTCCTCACTTTTGTAACCGTCTTGGGCCTCTCCCAATCTAACACGACCTCAATTTTCTTGGGATCTACTACAACTCCCTCTGTAGAAATCACATGCCCAAGGAACTTCACTGACTTAAGCCAAAACTCACACTTCAAAGGTTTAACATAAAGCTTTTTCTCTTTCAGCACCTGTAAAACAATCCTCAAGTGCTCCGCATGCTCCTCCTCCGTCTTGGAGTATATAAAGATATCGTCAATGAAGACGATCATAAACCGATCCAAATACGGATGGAAAATACGGTTCATGTAATCCATGAAAACTGCGGGCGCATTGGTGAGTCCAAATGGAATCACCAAATACTCATAGTGACCGTATCTCAAACGAAATGCGGTCTTTGGGACATCCTCCAGCTTGACCCGAATCTGATGGTATCCGGATTGGAGATCAATCTTTGAGTACACGCAAGCACCCCTAAGTTGATCCAACAAATCATCAATACGAGGGAGGGGATACTTGTTCTTGATTGTCACCTTGTTCAACTGTCTATAATCAGTGCATAATCGCATGGTCCCATCTTTCTTCTTAACAAAAACAACTGGTGCTCCCCATGGAGACACGCTCAGTCGAATGAAGTCTTTTGCCGAAAGATCCTCAATATTCTTCTTCAGCTCTGCCAACTCTGGTGGAGACATCCGATATGGAGCTAAAGAAATAGGCCCCACACCAGGTAACAAATCAATGGAGAACTTTATCTCCCTCTGTGGCGGAAACTCAGGAATCTCCTCAGGAAACACCTCGAGGAATTCCCTTACCACAGGAATGCCAACAATGTCCTCCTGTGTCCCACTCACCAAACCTCCCAACATGACATAACCATATGCCCCTGCTCTCAAGGCTCTCCTAGATTGCAGCACTAAAATATAAGGCGAGGAACTGGCTGTGAAATCACACGGAGACATCACCACTCGCTTTGCACAGCAATCAATCATCACACAATTCTTGGACAACCAATCCATGCCAAGGATGATCTCCAAATTAGCCATCGGCAATCCTATCAGATCCACCGAAAATTCACGGCCATCCCACTGAAACACGATATCTTGATGTACAGTGGAGGTATCACACTTTTCTCCGGTGGCGGTAGTCACCCACAACGGTGGAGAAAGCACAGCAATGGGCAACTCAAGCCCCACAACAATCGGTATTTGACTATCTACTGATGTGTATTCGAATACTCCACGAAAAGAATTCGAATACTTATTAGACTGAATGCAGAAACTCGTGCAGTTTCTGCATAATCCCATTTTTAAGGGTCCAAATGCGATTTGGAGTCCAATAACTCCATAAATAACTGTTCATTTATACATTTTAAACATGGATTATCAGCCTTTAACTCAAATGATCAAAGTTTCTCTTTTTAATGACTTAATCAAGCTAAAATCATGGATATACAAAAGAGGTGACCATGGTTTACCTCAAGGCTCACAAACTCAGAAAATGGGATAGATTTGGAGCCCTCTACACAGCACTATGGTTCTATCACTTCAAGACCATGAAAATACACAACAATCTAGGTCCTTTACACCAAAAAGTTGCTCCTTGAAGCTCCAAATGCTAAGTAGATGACCCTTTCACCCCCAAGCAATGAAGTCAGTATCAAACCCCCTTTACACCAAAAAGTTGCTCCTTGAAGCTCCAAGTACAAGAATTAAAAATGAAATGCTGACCAGAATTAAAGAAGCTCAACTACAAAATGATAGTGCTAAACGACTGAAAGGTCAGAGTGGTGTATCCTGCAATGATCAGGTTATACTATTATATCAGGGTCGTATTGTTGTACCTAGGCAGTTGGCAGAGGAAGTGATGACAGAGGACCATAATGGTCAATTCACTGTCCATCCAGGAGCTACAAATATGTATCAGGACCTAAGGATTAATTTCTGGTGGCCTGGTATGAAGAAAGACATTGTCGAATTCGTCTCTAAGTGTCTTGTATGTCAGAAGGTCAAGATTGAGCATCAAAAGCCTTCTGGTATGTTGCAACCTTTGGATGTTCCTGAATAGAAATGAGAGAGTATCTCCATAGATTTCGTAGTGGGTTTGCCACGAACACAGGCTAGTTATGATTCTATATGGGTAATTGTGGATAGATTGTCAAAGTCCGCACACTTTTTTTCAGTTCGGGTAGATTTGTCTGCTGAGAGATTAGCTAGGCTCTATGTGAAAGAGATTGTGAGGCTTCATGGGGTGCTTGAGAGGATTGTTAATGATCGGGACCTGAAGTTCACTTTTCGCTTCTGGGGAGTATTGCAGGAGGCTCTTGGCACTCAGTTGAGACCGAGCACTGCCTATCATCCACAGGAGGATGGTCAGACTGAGAGGACCATTCAGACGTTGGAAGATATGCTGAGGGCTTGCACCCTGGAACAGGGTACTGCATGGGATCAATATCTCCCGCTGGTTGAGTTTTCATATAATAATAGCTTCCATGCTAGTCTGGGTATGGCTCCCTACGAGGCCTTGTATGATCGCCGGTGTAGGACACCTACTTGCAGGTCAGAGGTTGGGGACATAGAGAGATTTGGATTGGATTTTGTTTAGGAGATCACTGAGCTGATAAAAATGATTAGGGATCGTCTGAAAAAGGCTCAAGATCGCCAAAAGAGTTATTATGATCTCATGCATCGACCTCTGGAGTTTGAGGATGGGGATCATGTATTTTTAAAGTTGTCGTCGGTTACGGGTGTTGGACGAGCCTTTGGAGTGAGGAAGCTGAGTCCGAGATTTATTGGACCCTACCAGATTCTACGTAGGGTAGGACCAGCTTCCTACCAGCTTGCCTTGCCTCCTCAATTATCGAATTTACATAATGTATTCCATGTTTCTCAGCTGAGGAAGTATGTAGCTGATCCTTCTCATGTGGTTCAACCTGATGATGTTGAGATTCGGGAAAGTTTGAAAACTTCCGTTGGGCCACTGAAGATACTCGAAAGGTATGAGAAGAGGCTGAGGAATAAATCCATTCCTATACTGAAAGTCCAATGGGAATGAAGGACACCTGATGAGTCCACTTGGGAGCGGGAGGACGAGCTTTGTAACACCCCATTCTAGAACCGGTTTGTTAACATCACATTATGATATTAAGCGCAGTTACAATCACATTGGTTCAATTAGAAATCCAGATAAATTTTTATTTTTGAACAAACCTGAATTTAAAATACCTAATTGTGTGATCATAACCATATTACGTTGCGGAATAAAATAAATTAATCTTAACATCATATTCTTATTTCATTAGACCACGCGTTGTTAAATGTCTTCATCTATTTTATTATTATATGATTAAAATACTTCCTATATAGTTCTTATCTTCTACTATGTTGTATATCTCTTTGTTAGCTTCGAGTGGGTTCAAACCACGCTCTAATTAGAGCTTTGTAGCTCGAGTTACGCCAATTTTACTAAACTAGGTTTTTGCTGATTTTTCGAATTTAGCGTTTTGGCGCCCAACTTAGCGTTTAAACGCCCAGAGGCAGAAAAATTTGCCTTCTCCAAGTCTCCAGAGCGTTTTGGCGTTGAAACTTAGCGTTAAAACGCCCACTTGAGCGTTTTAGCGCCCATATTCGCGTTAAAACGTCCAGGGGCAGAGATCTTTCCTCCATTTTACGAACTTAGAGCGTTTTAGCGCCAATTTCAGCGCTAAAACACTATCCAGCTGGGCAAAACATGCCCTCCTCTGTTTTCATGTGACTCCATGGGAGATTTCCTCCCACTTTCACCATTCTCTTAACACCTAATAGACATTATACAACTTTAATACATGATCCTTATCTATGTTAAGACACACATTCATCAAATTGCATCCATGTCTTTCCATCATATATACAACACGTACAATATTACACAATGTCCAGGTGTCTCTAATATATAATCATAGGACTTACATACAAAACACTATGATCAAATCTTTGGCTCCCATTAACAAAAGAGATACCAAAGGAGACGAGCATAGGCTAAGTCCATCAAAATGAAACATGACATACATATAACAAATGGCTTTCATATATGAATCCTATACATAGGAACTACAAAATGGCATGCATATAACAAATTAATGCAAAATCTTCATGTATCAACTAGTCCAAGTATGGCCACTTTCCACCAGAGGCTCCTCCAACATCTTTACTTGAAAGGGGGTCCCCACAACACGGGGTGAGATATATAAATACATCTCAGTAAACCAGGGGTCTTTGAAGCATATCTCCACCCCATAGTTCACTCACAGTATAATAGCAATAATCAGTAAATAATGCAGTAAATACATATCATGCAGTGTGTAAAAACATCTCCAGGAGACATCCCTCGAGCTCTCATGCCGTCCTAAGGTACTCAGATGCAAAATAGTCCTACTGGCCAGCTAAACTACAAAGTATGAATTACGCATCGTCATGAACATACAAAACATAGGGAAACACCATCCTATGTCACACAAAATGCATACACATACGTATAACAAAGAATTAAACTACCCTATTGCATATACAACACTATTAATAACCACTACCCATTCTGGGCTTGGTGGAACAATAAAAGGATCAATTCCCAAGGTCCGAAGGCTTACCTCAAAGCTCCAATTCAACCTTTGCTCACCAACAAGTTTTGCAACCAATCAACTTTGAATTCAAGCTACAACTTGCAAAATACACACCTACACCAAGATGCCACACAATCAATCAATACAAGCTAATGAATATCCATATATTCATCAACAAAACAACAACTCTACACCACAAATTGGCATAAGCTTACCTATCCAAATGGGTTAATCAAGCTCCATAGCTTGCTCCAATGAGTGGTCACTCAAAGTTGGTCCACAAGGCTCAATCCTATCACAATATGGACACAATCAACCATCCAATTTACAATTTGCCCAAAATGCTAGAAAACACACAAACCGCAAGCATGGATTTTCTAATACATTGAACAATAACTAAATGACTATCTAAACTCATTTCTACCGTTTATTTATCATCTGCAGCAACTTTTACAAAGGGCTTAAGCTTAAGTCAAACTCAAACTTATATTACTCACAATGACACTATTCATCATCTTCCTCCATCATACAAACTCCATGAAAACCAAGCTTAAGGAGTGGAAACTTACCACAAATGATTGCACAACCATGGAATGAGTGCTTCCTAAGTCCCCAAGAAGTGAAATGCTCCCAAACCCTTTCAATCTTCAAAGGGGGCAAAAGTTTGGGAAGAGAAATCTCACACCACAATGCTCCCCACTCAAGGCCAAGCTAGGATTAAGGATGAAAAGAAGATTCTAAGTGTTTTAGGCTTTTGAATCACTCAAATCGGTAGAGAGATGATGGAACTAGGGTTTTGGGCATGAAATGGTTTTCTCCCTCTCACTCTCAATTTTGTTGAGGAAGGAGAAGAAGAATGGAGTGAGTTGTGGTGTTTTACCACTTAGTATAGGTAAGTTATTTTAACTGTGTATAAGCTCATCTATCTATTCACCTCCATTCACCACCAAACTTAACCAAAGGGTCGAAAATATTTTCCTATTAATATTTTTAACTTTACTTTTATATTTTAGGTACTTTTGTCTACACCCATTTTTACCCCATAATTTTCACTGACAACACTTTTTACCTCAAAAGTGACCCTAATTCATTTAATTAGGCTTTATAATTAATTTTACTCACTAATACATGCTTAATTACTCAATTACATGTAATTTACTAATTAATTAGGCTAGGGATATTATAGTCACCCCACCTATTAGTGATTTTGTCCGCAAAATCAAGAACATACCTGTCCTTAAACTCAGGATATTGCCGGAGAAGCTCATCCTCCCGCTCCCAAGTGGACTCTTCAGGCGTCCTTCCTTCCCATTGGACTTTCACTATAGGAATGGTCTTATTCTTCAGCCTCTTCTCATCTCTTTCGTATCTTCAGTGGCCCAACGGAAGTTTTCAAATTTTCCCGAATCTCCACGTCATCAGGTAGAACCACGTGAGAAGGATCAGCTACATACTTACTCAGCTGAGAAACATGGAACACATCGTGTAAATTCGATAATTGAGGAGGCAAGGCAAGCTAGTAGGAAACCGGTCCTTCCCTACGTAGAATCTGGTAGGTCCAATAAATCCCGGACTTAGCTTCCTCACTCCAAGGGCTCGTCCAACACCCGTAACCGGCGACAATTTTAAAAATACATGATCTCCCTCCTCAAATTTTAGAGGCCGATGTTTGAGATCATAATAACTCTTTTGGCGATCTTGAGCCTTTTTCAGACGATCCCTAATCATTTTAATCTGCTCAGTGGTCTCCTGAACAAAATCCAATCCAAATGTCCTCAACCTCTGACCAGCAAGTAGGTGTCCTACACCTGCGACCATACAAGGCGAGCCATACCCAGACTAGCATGGAAGCTATTATTATATGAAAACTCAACCAGCGGGAGATATCGATGCCATGCAGTACCCTGTTCCAGGGTGCAAGCCCTCAGCATATCCTCCAACGTCTGAATGGTCCTCTCAGTCTGACCATCCTTCTGTTGATGATAGGCAGTGCTCAATCTCAACTGAGTGCCGAGAGCCTCCTGCAATGCTCCCCAGAAGCGAGAAGTGAACTTCGGGTCCCGATCATTAACAATGCTCCCAAGCACCCCATGAAGCCTCACAATCTCCTTCACATAGAGCCTAGCCAATCTCTCAGCAGAGAAATCTACCCGTACTGGCAAAAAGTGTTCAGACTTGGTCAATCTATCCACAATTACCCATATGGAATCATAACTAGCCTGTGTTCGCGGCAAACAACATCAACATCAACATCAACTACACCTTTATCCCAAATTAGTTGGGGTCGGTGGTAGATGAACCCACATAAAAGATACAAAACGATTGAAAAAAAGTAAAAAAAATAAAAAATAAAAAATAAATAAATAAATAAATAAATAAAAATACACAAATAAAATAATAAAATAAAATAAAATGAAATAAAAATATATGTATATATAAATAAATAAAAGTAAAAAAGAAAGGGACAAGAAGAAGTGGGGGAAATGAAGGGGAAAAGGACTAAAAAAGGACCATCTGGAACATAGGAATAACAGCGGGTCTAACCCTCCACCATACTTATAGCTTTTCTCCATTCCTTTCTAAGACATACTGTCCGCCAATCTATATCCCACTCCATTAAATCTTGTTTTACTACTTTCCCCCAAGTAAGCTTCGGCCTACCTCTGCCTCTTTTTGTGTTTAGCTCTTGGTAACAAACTTCTGTTCTTACAGGAGCATCCATGGGTCTTCTCATCACGTGCCCAAACCACCTCAATCTATGTTCTCTCATCTTCTCGGCTACCGGTACTACTCCGACCTTTCGTCGAATATCTTCATTTCTTATCTTATCCATCCTTGTGTACCCACACATCCACCTTAACATCCTCATCTCTGCTACTCCCATCTTATGCTCATGTTGCCTATGTGCTGGCCAGCATTCCGCTCCATATAGCATTGCCGGTCGTACTGCCGTTTTATAGAATTTTCCTTTTAACTTCAGGGGAATTTTGCGGTCACACAAAAATGCAGATGCACTACGCCATTTCATCCACCCTGCTCTGATTCTGTGATTTACATCCTCATCCTCATCAATCCTCATCAAACCCACTACGAAATCCATGGAGATACTCTCCCATTTCCATTCAGGAACATCCAGAGGTTGCAACATACCAGAAGGCTTTTGACGCTCAATCTTGACCTTCTGACATACTAGACACTTAGAGACGAATTTCACAATATCTTTCTTCATACCAGGCCACCAGAAATTAATCTTTAGGTCCTGATACATCTTTGTAGCTCTCGGATGGACTGTGAATTGACCCTTATGGGCCTCTGCCATTACTTCCTCTGCCAACTGTCTAGGTACAACAATACGACCCTGATATAATAGTATACCCTCCTCATTGCAGGATACACCACTCTGACCTTTCAGTCGTTTAGCACTTTCATTTTGCAGTTGAGCTTCTTTAATTCTGATCAACATTTCATTTTCGATTCTTGTAATTTCGATGTCACAAATTCTGCCTGGAAAGACTTCAGATAGTTTCATATCTATGAACCTCTCAATCATATCATAATCTCTCATCATCATGCTTGCTACGCTCACAAATTTTTGGCTCAATGCGTCAGCTACAACATTAGCCTTGCCAGGATGATATTTTAATTTGAAGTCGTAGTCCTTTAGGTGTTGGACAAGTGGCCTCAAACTCAAGAGGGGGGGGGGGGTGAATTGAGTTTTAAAAATATTTCTATTAAAATGCCTTACTTTTCTTTTTCAAAGCCAATTTATTTAATTTAAATAATTTACAGCGTGGAGTGACTAAATAACAGAAAAATAGATCAGGTAAATATTTGATG